GAGAGATAACAGCGTGATCTGTGGCTTTCTTCTATGGATTCCCTGTCTCACCACTCCTGGAGTTATGGGTCTTTAATATTCCAAACTGTCACCTGAGCTGGGAGGAGGAGGAAGATATCAGCAACGCACCCATCCATCCCACCTCGCTCATGGTGCCAGAATAAAAGATTTATTCCCTCACACCATTCTGATTCTGCCTCCTGGAAGTGAGTTAGTTTTGATTTGTACATGAGGATTTTTTAATTTTTTTTTTCAGAGGAACAAAAAGATGGTACAGACTCTTGATTTGCTTGGAAAGAAGCTTGAAACATTCTCTGTCTATTTTTTTAGGACAAAGTAGGCCTGAAATGCTGCTCCTCATTTGGTAACCAGCACAACCTCACTTCTGAGCTTCTGACTGATTTAATACTTCAGTCACCAAATTTACAGTAGGTAAAATCCCTTCTGATTGTTGTTTTTACCCACAGCTGATGTTCAGCCTAGCCCTGTAGCTCTGTGTAGAGGATCCCATTCTGCTCAGTTTTAACACCAGGGGGAATTTGGCTGCAGCCTGAGCCCAAAACGCAACACGGGGACACATCCACAGGGCTGTTTCCAGTGCCAGGTGTGTGTTTGCATCATTCAGACCGAGTCACTGGCCTCAGCAAAGCAAGCTGAGAGAGGGGAAGCACCCCAGGAGGAGGCTGGAACTGAAGGGCTGTGTCTTCATTTGCTGAATTTCCCAACTGGTGAAGTTACCTTGGGCTTGGCTTGGGTGTCCCCAGAGCCAAAGGAGAACAGGAGAGGTAAAACCACACCCAGAGATCAGCCAGTCCTCTGCTGGGCTGGGAGATGGCACTGGAAGGACTAGGGAGAGCAGGGGGAACTCGTCCCAGTTCCCACTGCTCAGGAATTTGGGGAGGCTCAGCATGAGCCTGGGCTGGCAAGCCTGAAAGTCACCCTGGCCCCTGCTGTCTGCTGAGGCCACCAGAGACACTGACTCCAGGGGACCCGAGCACCAGGAGCACCAGGAGCAGGGATGTGAGCACCAGGAGCAGGGATGTGAGCACCAGGAATAGGGATCTGAGCATCAGGAATAGGGATCTGAGCACCAGGAATAGGGATCTGAGCATCAGGAATAGGGATCTGAGCATCAGGAGCACCAGGAGCAGGGATCTGAACACCAGGAATAGGGATTTGAGCACCAAAGCAGGGATCTGAGCACCAGGAACAGGGATCTGAGCCCCAGGAGCAGGGATCTGAGCCCCAGGAATAGGGATCTCTGCTCAATTCGATTCCTCCCGCAGCACTGAGCTGCCTTCACTGCAGAGGTGACAGTGCCATCTACAGCCCTGACTCAGCCTGGCTGTGGGACCTGCCTGAGAAACGTGAGAGGATCTGGTGCATTTATGGGTTTATCCTCGTGCTGACTATTTAAGACAGCACTTTCTGAGCCCTCCTGCGGGCCCTGTCTGGTGCTGAACACACTGACAGTAAATAATGGACAACAACACAATAGGCACACAAGCAATTTAGGAATCACATTATTCCAACCGCTCTCCTCGATGGTTTTCTGTCATTTTGAAGACTGTTTGACAGGGTTCATAGAAAATGCCTGATCTTTATCCAAATCACACAAATTTCCATCAGGTTTTGGGCT